GAGGAACAGGTAAAACCAGGCAGGGCAGACTCAAGATTACTGTAAATGTGTAAACTGAATAACAACTACAAAAAAAGCAGGACCACTTGGGTAACATACTTCATTTCAACTTCTAATCTATATTCATCCCAGATATGTTAGCACCTTGTCTTTTTATACACTTTCCAGAAAACTAGACTTCAGTAGATACATACATCCTTTCCCTTCATTTTTCCTCTGAAAATATTAAGAAGAAAAACAACGTAAGATACTCACAATAATGAGTATTCTCAAAAAATTTACAAATACAATTACAGTGTCTATAAAGTCATTTCTCACCTTCCAAGGAAATACCAGGATTGACCAGAATTTGGATCTGCTTCTAGAGATTTCTGGAGATACTGTATAGCATAGCTTTCCTTGGTTGCCTTGTCTCCAAGCTGATCCACGGTGTGATGCATCCAGCCTACAAAAGAATCCATAAATGGCAGAAGTGAAATTCCCTAAGACCATTTAACACTGTGGCATGGCAGAACATTCATAGCATTAGTTCCTCTTTAAAAAAAGGAGTATCAAACAATAATATCACTTACATATAGTATATGAATGAAACTTTTAAAACTGTTAAAGTTCTATACTAAAATTACAGGACAAAAGGACCCTAAGTCAAAATTACTTTCAGGTACTTTTAAAGCAGGTTTTTTTTGTTTAAATATTTTTCTATGAGGTTTGTAGCACAAGTATGAACTGCTCAATCTTCTACTATAAAAAGTTACCTGAAAATGTTAACTCTTTCCTCCTTGGAACACAGATACCTTCCCTGTCATTGTGAAAAATGCCACCATTCTCCCTGTCATGCACGTCAATTATCTGTACATTGTGTTCAGTTTACTCCTTTTCTTCTAAATCCTTGTATTTATCCCATATCTACATTTGGGCAATTCCCCAACAGAACATTGGTAAGAATTTTTGTATCTCCACTTAAATCTTTCTTACATTGTCATTTCATCTTCACTGCTACAACATCTTTTCCATTCACCTTCACAAATGCAATCACCTCTCATCTACGTAACAAATTCTGCTGAAAAGATCATTTTATTTCATTATCTAACCACACACCATGTTTTTTCAAATGCGTTTTTTTCTTTCATTACATTAGATAAATTATTCATCCCCACTTTAAAGGTCTCCAACAATCCATGCTCCCATATCATCTTTTACATGCTATTAAAACGCATCTCTGCTCTAGCACTGATGCAAGGCTTGGTTGCCATTTCAAATGAAACACCTTCATCATCATCTCAAGCTGCTCATCTGCCTCTATGCTTAGATGGAATTCCTTTAAGCAGCCACAAAACCTTCTCAGTGCCATTCATACCATGAGTACAAGGAAAACCTTTGTAACAGGCAGCTGGCTTGCTGAAATCACTACACACCACACTGGTCAGCAATGTCTTGCTGTTTGCTTAATCTCCATGTATTTGCCTTAAGAATCCACCGCTTTTCAGCCAACATTTGTAAAACTAAGATGTGCCAACAGATTGTCCCTGTTTTTATAGCATCCCGCCTATAAACGGTCCCTTGTGGAACACTATCATACAAATTTCATAAAATATCAAAGGTTTGTATGAAGTTTTAGTTACCTACAGCATTGTACACACACCTGTACTAAATGTCTATTTAAAATGTCCGTCACTAACCTTCAGCACCCTAAGCTTACACTTTTTTGATACAGTCTAACTACATGAACAAGTAATACCACTCAAAAGATCCAGATCAAATTCAGATCGCATCTGAAATGCTAGACAAAGTAGGCAAGGCTGGGAACTGAACTGATGAGTATTTGCAGCCTTACTTCACTCTCTGTATTCAGGCTATACCTTAAATATTTTATTCTACCTGTTCTATACATCTTATATTTTATTCCATGGACTTACAGTTTAACAGTCACAGCGACACTTTTGCAAATGGAAGGCAAACTTCCAAGCTTTAAAAAAGGCAATCTAAAAGAAAACCGTATCTATTGAACGAGATTTGCCTGAGGTGTTTTAAGAAGTATCACTTAGAAACTGTGGTCACAAGCAGAAGTTTGAATATTTCATGGACTACAAGAAATGTCAGGTTACCAGCCAAGTGGTTATAGTGCTGAAAAGAGAGTACTTTATCTTGTCTGAAAATGGAACAAGTCAAAACCCTACCCCCATCAGGAAAAGAAAAAAAGGAAAAAAACCCCAATGTTTTTTGCAAACATATAACATACACAACTTTCTCTCATGGACTTCATAAACAAGCTATGATTTTGATTCAAATCCCAAGTCACTGAAGTTCTTAAGCATACAGAAAATACTTGAAGAAATAAAGGCTTATGTGAGGGTGGTTATCAGAACGCACCTGCGTAACTGTACAACTAAGGATAAATGTATAGAGTGCAGTGCCAGGCAAAGCCTGAGATAAAGGTAATAGTTCAGGGATTATAAACAAGGGTAAAAAAAATTAAACAATTTCCCGAATCTTTGGAAACGTTGTATGGTGATGTTTATTTTCTGTTTCATCAGAACCTTGCCGGATTGAAAGATAACATGTTGTATCTTCACGAGATCTTTACTGAGGTTCACTGATAAAAAGAAAGAATCTATTTCTAGGAGACAGAAATGAGAACTAGCAATCCCTATCTAGTTTCACTGCTGAAACAAGGGTTGCTTCCCGATTTTATCTTCCTGTGCAGGGAGGTGAAAAAGGCAGAAAGCCAGAGAGAAGGTGAGGGAGAACAAGCAGCAGTTTTCTACTAGAATAGCACAGGTAAAGGAAACTGGATCTCTCTTCTCCTCATGCATACAATGAAGAACGTACAGAAAGACGGTGATGGAAAAACCCTGGTAAGCTGTACAGTTTCCCATTTGCAAGACCTCACTCAAATTCTCAACTAGCATATTGACTTACTCTTCCACTCTTGGGACATTTTTAACATAACAAACAAAAAAGGAGATTTTATCCATATTTCACAAACGTTCCATGCTCTTTTCCAGATTTTTACAATCTAATTTGTAACAAATCCCTGTGTTGCCTCAGCAAGAGGATACGCAAGCCTAGCTCATGCTGCAGGGTTTCTCTACGCTTATGGATCACTCTCATGCTGAACTTGTGGCAATTGCTTTTTCCCCCCAATAAACATCATCATCTCAGTCTCTGAAGAGATGAGCCTCTTCCCCATTTTAGCACTTCATATATCTCATCCAATTATATGGACACCACCTAGGAATGCCCCTAGCCGAAAATCACTGAGAGAGTGCTTTGAGAACCTCTAAGCAGATGCTTATGTTGTTCTTACACTCTTCCTTATGCAACCGCTGAGTATAACTGGAGAAAGAATACCACGACATTTGATCTTCAGTCTCATTAATTTCATGTCATTTTAGGCAAAACGGTGAAAAGAATTATTGTTCGGAAAGCAAATGAAATGGCAAAGCAGAAGAAACAAACTGCTCTTATCCAACTGTACAGATCTTTGTTACATCTACCCGGACTAGTCAGCATGCATCAGCTCAAACTGATATGTATTTATCTGAGAATCACAGGGTTCTCCTCCACAAGTGATCTGCTTTGGAAACCAGCAACAAGAGCGAAGATTTTAATAATTATCTCATAAGACATCTGAACTTGCCCAAATTTCAACTCTGGCTCAATAAACATTAACTAGCTAAGGAAAATAAATAAAGGGTATTTTCATGCCAAAACAATTTTTCTGTTGGAGCTAAAAAAAGAGTTCAACATAGAAATACAAATATATTTTGATTGGGTTTTGCCAGTAGCATTCTGGCAGATGGCAGGTATTTTCTATTATTTTTTCTAAGCAGCAGTGCACCACCCGGACTATGCTTCCTGAGGAGGTGTTTTTATTACCAGCTGCTAGACACTAAATCTGCAATAAACACCATACTCTGATAAATACCAACGTTAACAGTGAAGAGCAAAAGAAATGGTATTATTCCTTGAAGGTTCTGATTAAGACCACTCTGTCCCTTTCTCCACATAGAAGCTACCCACACTACAAAACTAGGTGACTTATGCTGATTGAATAAAGGGAGTTAATCCAGTTTTCAGACAGCAGACAATTCTCAAAGTCATTGCTCTTATTGCTAGCACAGAGACCTGTGGTAAGATTTTATGAATACAACCACGAGCCTTTACTCCTAATGTGGCAACATACATCAAACGGCGTTGAAAAAGCCTTGGTCAGCTATTTTAGGAAGCCTGTCTTCCACTGATCATATGTACAGCCTTTCTGGATGAAACTGCTGACAATTTATACTAGGTGGGATAATACCAAGTTAAAAAAAAATTCAAAGGGGATACTGAAATATAAGCAACACTGTTGTGTGACAGCAAAAAGATCAGCACCTAGAGTCCTGCAGTGAACTCCTCCAGGAGTTTCATTTGTGATTTCACACAGAAGACTCAAAAGCTAAACAAATTAGCCCACTCCAAAGCCAAACACAACCTGCATTGCAAAAAATGAAACCATTATGGCCATAACTTAGTGCCAGTTACTAATTTGAATTAAATGACCACTATGCAAAGGGTGGGGGGAAATAAAAATGGGCATAAGCAGGCTAAATGAATATTTAGAATAATAAATTAGATGAAGAACATGGAGAAAATGAATGAAGAAGTTTTGCACTGGGTTGAACAATTTTAACAAAATATTCTGGAAATACTTTTATACGGCATATAGGACAAAAGTAATTTATTCTACCCACCCATTAGAAATTTTGGTCTAAAAATTATTTATTGGCTTTCTATAAGTATGGAGGATGACAATTTTTAAAAAATAATACTTTTTCTCTTTTTATGTGGTTTCTCTTATGGAATCTGATGATAAACTTTTTAGTTACAGAAATAGGTCTTCATTATGTACTATAATTAGAGAAAGAAAAAGTAAATTTTTCATTTGCCATGTTCTTCTATTCTGCAACAGAGAATATTCTGTATTTTGGTTTAGTGCATTTAGCCTGGCTATTCAAGGGATGTCCTCAGAAGCAGAACAGAGAATACTGAATTCTAACTGCTGCACTCCTTCTCTGAAGGACCATCCCCTCATTGCCCAAAACTTGTAACATGTATACTGTAGCAAGTCTAAGAGCTTTTTAATTTTGTAAGTTTAATTAAAATCTTTTCCTCCTCTCTTATTTACTTCATTATCTACTGTTATGCATTCTGTTTTGGGTGAAAATCTCACGTATCACACTCAGTGTCTAAGACTCACTTTGGAAATGGAGCGTTAAAAAACACTGCTGAAGGCAAAGATGGAAAAAAGAAACACACAGAAAAAGTGAAAGTTAATTTTACGTACCTAACTGCTGTAAGACAGTTGCTTTTACTTGTGCAGGAAGGTTTTCGATCTGCAAAAGTTGTTCATAAGCTTCCTTTGCAGAGTGATACTTTCTCTGCAAAAGGAAAAAAGTAAATGGATTAATCATAAAGCTTACAACAGATCACCAACAGCAACGATTTCACAGCACTGACAGCACACAAACACATTGACAAAAAATTCTCAAACTTTTTTTTTTTGCATACAGTGCATATGAAAGCTTTAATGAGTGATGTATATATATGGTAAGAGAATAACTGTCATAAATATAGTATTTCATATAAATTGAGTACTTAATTGAGGGAAAGTTGCAAATTATTAAATTTGGTCAACTCCTCATATGCGCATTATGCTTCTGATACTAAAATGAATATACTGCTTTTAAGGGGAATGGTTGAATGTGAGTCTGCATCTGAAAAAACCCTACACAAATTCCTCCCAGGAAATTCTTAACAGAAACAAAGATCATCGGTAACTGGTGGCTGGTGTAATTTTGCCTCTCTCCTTCCTTTGGTATATTTGGACTGCCTTTTCAACATATTTGTTGTCCTGGTAAGAGTCCCACCGTATGTAGAATTAAAATATATCCATGGATTATGCCTAGAGAATGAAGGTATGCCATCCTATTATTTGCTATATAGTTTAAGTGTGCTTATAGCATGGAAACATTCAGTTCTTAATTCCCCTACATGAACAGGTCTTGAGATAGAAAACACATTTCCAGGTTAGGATCGTGGTCTTTACTGACTTATGGAACAGTATGAGCTGTTTTGTATATATTAAAGGTTAAGACTTCTTGGTAGAAAATTTTTTTTGTAATCAGCATTTATCTTTGTGTTACCCTAACAATAATTGTTTAACACTGAATGTATTTTAAATGCTTAATTCTTTTGTTCCTCCTCTCCCATGAAAGTCTAGAAGACATAAATGCTGAGGTCTGTTAGTAAGAGTACTTTTTTTTTTTAAACTTTCTAAAAATTCTATACAATTTTTAAAGAAAATTATGCTTTCAGATAATTCAACATTAGACTTCATTCTGGCAAACAGATGAAGAACATACTAAAATAAATGGGGCCACCTAAATGCAAGTGATCATGACTTATGTTACATTTGTTTTATGCAAAGAGTACACAGTACTGACTACTGGTGTTTTAAAAGGGAAAACTGGGAAGAAGACTCTAAACAATATAAATACCTATTAGAAGTTAAAAATGTTATTAGGTTCTTGAGATCTTACAATCACAAAAGACAACTCTGTTGGTTTTAAAACCTTATTCTAGTCAAGAAAAAAATTAAAGCAACAATTACATACTTTCAAATGGAACAAGGTAGAAAAGATTTTTAATTGGTGGTCATGAAATGCAGACAACTGGTAAGAAAATAAATAATACAAATAAATAAAATATCCATGGCCAGCAAAATAAAAACAATTAGGAAAAAATTTTAAATTTAGCATTGGGAACAAAATTCATAGTTTATGACTATGAAGAATAAGCAAATGAACAGAAGTTCACTGTATAGCGTGACAGCAGAGGCAGCAATCCGGATGTCAAACACGTAAATACTAGGGCCTAATATCCCCACTTTGAAAGAGATGTTTACATGCTTGGGAGGATTCAGAAAGACCTATTAAAATAGGGCATGTTTTCCAGATCTAGAATATTTTTTACTTCTGTTATTTGTTGTGTTATTTACCCTTTAGAAATCTGTCTATGTATATGCTTTACAAAAAACTGTCATTATGTTTACATTTGGTTTTATTTAGATATGTTAATTCCAAAGATCCAAAGTCCTTGATACTGGCTGCATCATGAGTGGTCTTAGAAATGGGAAGGGGGAGGGGAACCCAATCCAACATCTTTCTTTAGACACCATATAAGCTACTACCCTAAATAGCTAGAGGGACTCACACTGCCACAGATAAAATAATAGAAACTAGCATTAAACACCATGAAAAACCACTGCTAACTCTTATCAGCACCAGGCTATTCTCTTGTTCAGAGGCTGGCAACCCATCATTTAAACTCCAGTACTGTGAAGGTACATAATTAAGGAATGAATTAATTTTTTAGTTAAATATTAGAGAGTAGATAATTTTGAAATATATGGAGGGGTTCAGAAAACTGTAGCACTGTGTCCTTGAAAAGAAACCAAGCAACCAGCCTGCCTCCAAAAACATCTCTTTGTTGTGTCAGAGGTAATGTCCAGAATGAAGTCAAGATCCTTTGTGGTTCCAAGTTTCCCAAATTCCAGAAAAGAAGATACCCCTCCCAAACTGTGAGACAAACCAAGCCTAATAGCAGAATGCACTGGAACTTTTTTGCTCTGACTTGTGTTAAAGTTCCCACTGCCTACGACTGTCAGTCAGAACGCATAGCTTAAGCACTTGTAACATTGGTCACACAATTATATAAGGCACCTGGCATGGTGACCTGAGATGTTCAACTTTCTGTTTTACTCTAGCAGATCAAAAGAACTAATGTGTTGAGGACGCTTTGTTATATAAACATGTCAGATGTGCTCCAGTGCTCAGAATGAAATCTGGATGGTGGCCAGGTAAGAACCACAACAGTCCATGAAGTTTCTTAATGGTGTTTTGGGACAGGGGATTTCTGTCTTGTCGTATAGCTTTGCACCAAAAGCATTCAAAATAAAAATACCTTGTTTATCAAATTTGTATCTTTTATTTATATCTAAAGTAATTCTTCACCATGCCATCAAAAGACAGCACTTACTTTATCAAGCTCCTTTTCAACTGACTGAAAATGTACTTTATTTATATATCATGCATTTTAATTACAACACTTTTTGTTTTCATGTCACATCCCTTCCTCAGTCATATAATACCTATAAACATGATAAAAGGACATACAATCTACGTTATATGACCAGTGAAGTCAAATTACAAATATACAATAGCTATTTCAGTAGCTACTTGGTTTGAATTTACTTATATTCTGGAAGCTCAGTAAGTGGTCTGTAATTTCCCAAACGATTCACCTAAAAAAACCTCTGTGATAGGTTTTGATATAGAGTTAATAACACAGCTTTATGTGCTGTTGACCTCAGATCATATGTTTCTGTCACATATGTTCAGGTAAATTTGAAAATTTCATGTCAAAAAAAAGGTGCCTCGGCAACTGGCTAGACTTGACTCTGTGTGTGTGTGTGTATGTATGTATGAGAAACAATATGAATATATATGAATTGAGAAACTACATATTTTTAACATCTATATATATAACTTTTAAAATACATATATAATCTCATAAAAGAATTCTACTAAAAATTATGTTTAGGGGTTTTTTTACACTCAACTTGGGAGACTAGTAAACATGTAGGTTTATTAAAATAGCTACTCCATTTTATAGCGTGACAGTCCACATTTAAAAATATTTTTAATTTAGCCAAAGCAAATAAAGTTTCTTTAGTGATTCGAGACTTAAGACTAACTTTACAAAAGCATCTATAATCTGAATTCCACAGATTGATTGCATCGTATAGTTAGAAACTCAACCACGCTTTATAAAAAGGAGCTTAAAGCTTACCTGGATTTCATATAAGTGGGCGATGTGAAACTGAACTGTAAGAGTGGGAAAATCAAAATTATTAGTTTTAATGAACGACAACAACAATTACAGTATGTTTTTTCAAGTGAGGGATAAACAATGTTTCAAATTTATCAATGTAAAACCAAGATAAATTACGTTTTGAAGTTACAAAAGAAGTATTTGTTTACATTGATATTTTACACTTAATATAACAGAACTGACAGAGAATGAATATGTATCCTAACAAAGCATTAAGACTGCAGACACATATTGCAGAAACACAGCCCATGGATTTTATTTGTATTCTGAAATGCAGAGTCCATTAACCTTTCAGTAAACTTAGCAATAAAATCTCTCTAAGCAGAGATGCACAACAAGAGAATGCAGGTAATATTTTCTGCATATAACTGAGTCAGAAATAAAGACTTATTTTTTATTTTCATTCAGCTGCCAAGGGACAGACTAGCTGGGTTACAGAAGAGAAAACTACAGTATACACTGCCAGCTTTATACAAGAGCTTAAATTTAGGTGGTTTTTTTTTTTTTTTTCCTTTTTAGGAATTGTCTTTCCCCTGTTAAACTGAACTAAAAGCGTTAACTACAGATGGTATTCTGACCGTTACTGTAAAGCATCTTAAATTCCTCATACGAATTGCACAGAATGCCATACTACCACTAGCAACTCTTGGAGGCAAGAAAATTGCTGGCTGGAGAAAGAAAATGAAAGTTGTTCAAGAGTAAAAGCGGAGGGAAAATCATCCTCATGCTGCTCGAATCATTTAAGAAAAGATGGCGTGCCTGACCTCTAAGACTTGAGAACTGTTAACCTAGACTAGCCATCAACTGGTAGATAGCTAAAGCTAGTTGAGATGAATGTAATCCGTATTCTGATTTGATGAGGAAAGAAAAATTCCTTTGAGACAGACTTTTGCCTTATGTTCTTGAAGACTACAAGTAAGAAAATATCTGTGTTTGAGCCAAGCTCAATCTATTTCAATTACACAGATTTCTTTCTCTTGAAGCTACAGAATAGTGTGACACAGAGGTTTACACAGGTAATTTGGAGTTCCAGGGTTTCTCTCTGGGTCATAAGGGAGGGGGAAAGCTCCCTTTGTGCACTGCTTTGTCCTTCACTATAAAGAAGGTAGCCTAGTGCACTTCAGAAACCAGGTCATAATGAAATGCATCATCTAAAATTTTAATAAGCTTTTTATGTTCCTTGCTAAAGGGCACGTAACACACCCATTATGTTTACCACATTGTCAAACTTCACACTGCACTGATGAAAGAAAAACCTCTGCTTTTGTTTCCGGAGTTCACTATCTAAAAAAATCTCTCCTTTATTTTTTTCCCCCCTCATAGCAAAACCCCTTAAGCGTGAAACTACGAAGCGAAGCCATGCCTCGCAGGGTAAAGAAATCAAAGGTGTCACATTAGAGACTGCCTAAATAGAAAGAAGACATGCTTAGTACTCAAACATTTCTGTAGGAAGACACTCACTGTAATGCTGTTGCTCACCCAGCCTTTAGAAATGCAAGGGGTAGGATTAAGGCAATCTCAAGCATGTTATGTGACGGTACCTGACACCCTAGGTCAGAGCGCACTTCTGCTAAGCACTGCAGGAGAACCTGACAAAGCATCCCTCGTTCCTCTTCACTCTCTTCCTTTGGGTTTGTCAGGCACCGTGCCCAAGGCCACGGGACAATGAAGCACTTACATGGGACCATACCTCTACATAAATCTGGAGGCAGAGGGGACTGTGGGGGGAGGGGTCGGGAAAACCTTACAAAAATTCAGAGATGCAGTGAAACCTGATAAAGCCAGTGGGAAATAAGATGAACTAACATGAAATATAATAAAGAATCACATATCTGGTAGGAAACAAAAGCCTATTGACTTAGGAAGAATTCTGCAAATCATTTTACAAAATTGTCTGTGCCTGTTCCTGATAAGTGACATAGCTTTGGAGAAGATCTTGTAGCACAGCTGGCTCCTTGATACCGATACAGCCAGCAGTTTCACTCATGTAAACAAACCCCCTTCCATTACCCTTGCTAACAGAATATTCACAATTCCATCCAGCTCTGAATTAAAGAAATAATAAAAAAAGCTTTTAAATACTTTACCCAATGCTTCTGAAGTTGAGCTTAAGTTACCTCCTAAGTCTAACACTAAGAGCAGCATGAAGGTACCTTAAAAACTGAGGGAGTAATTTCCTTCACAACTGTCTGCTTTTTAATTCTTACAGACTCCAAAACATGCAGGAACATACGCTGCTTCTTGCATACAATTCCACTAACTATGGATAAATACCTGCAGGATGCTCTGTAACAGCCTACAGTATGTACTGCGTATGACAGATCATACTACGCTAAGAGATTAATGTGTTCAAGTACAGACGAATATATAGTTGGCACTTAATAAAACAAACAATCAAATTACATTTTGTACTTTTTCTTACTTCAACAGCATAAGACTGATGCTGAATTTTAGATCTATAAATTTAAATGGCATTAAAACAATCGCTGAAAAATGACAGATTATCAAGACGCCACAAAGTTTTAAATAATTACTATTAAATGTGTGCCACAGCACAAGCACTACGTTTATAAATAAGCAGATAAATGAACAGTCAAATAGTACGTTTCCTCTAGAACTCAAGTCTTCAGAGCAATTAATAAGCTAAGTCTCAGTTTTTACTTATTCCATTTACTAAAACAATCCACAATTCCACTGGAATATCTGTCTCCATTGACAGATGGAGGCAGGTTTTGTAGTCTCCCTCTCTCAGTGCTTACTCTTTTTATTTTGAAGGATTGGTGCATTAAAAATTGATACAGTTGTGAGCATAAGACTTAAAAAAAAAATCTACAACAAAATAAATGGAAATACTTATAGGTTACTTACTTTCAGCGTTAGACAAAGTGCAGGGATTGCAGTCAATCAAAGCTAACTGAAAATGCTGAAAAAAAAAAAGAATGATTTGTTTTTCAAACGAAGTAACACTAGCACTTTGGCAAATTACTAAGAATAAATCAATTTTGTACTTGAAAGTGAATACTGCCTTTTACCATGTGTCTTAAAGAAAACAATTTTCAATTTCTCTTCAACTGTTTACTAAAGTAAATTTTTGTAATTGCAAACATAGCAATGCTTCTAGTAATGTAAGATGGCAGCAGACATCTTCACAAAACAATTGGGATAGCATCTGAAAGAATGACTGCATCAAATGAATGGTCAAAATGGGAAGATCAAGTTTTCCTCAGCATACACAAGTGTAGTCGTACGAGCTCATAGCCTCATGGAGATAAACATCTAAGCTCTCAATTCGTCTATCTAGAAAAAACAGAATATTCTTCCTTCAAATTGGGTGATTTGAAGTCTTTTTAAAAAATTGATCTCTTGTCAAAAAACACTTAAAATGAATACCTTTACATTAAAACACGAGTTCATAAGTTCTTACATCCTCTCCTCCAGGTATTAAGATAACTTCAGACAAACATCAAAACTTCTTTATTTTTAATCACTTTTCCTCAAGAGATATGAAAAATATCTTTTAAAACATCTCTGCATTCGGAAGTTCTGAGCCAAGCACTTCACTCTTCTAGAAAAGAAGGTCACACAAGCAGAGCAGTGAAGTCTGTCTGCCAGAAAGTCTGGATGTGAGCAAACATTTCACAACTGTCATGCTAATTCAGTGATCACTATTTACAGTTTGAAACGCAACAAAGTGCATTAAAATGAATGGAACAGGCATACAAACTCAAGTGTCTCTGAACTTTTCCATAAACTTTATAGAAAATTCCTACACCGTGCAGAATTTGGATTAACATATTAATTCAATAGAGAATAAGGCCTAGGAATATAGGAACCTAAGAGATAGCTTATAAAATACTACTGTTAATAAACAGTTATCTACAGAATACAGCTTCAGGTGGCTTCTAATACACAAAACATTACTGAGGCTTCAGTATGTTTTATTTTGTTAGCACAAAAATGATAATTTAGGTCCGGCTCTTCAGGATGGCAAGCTAGGTGAAATGAGGAGCTTATTAGTGTAGCTGGGAAGAAAAAAAAAATAATCCTTATTAATGGATGTATATGCAACTCACCTTCAGTATTGTCATACTCAGAGCTACTAGATAATACATAACTTTCCTCATGGCCCTAATAATACCTTATATATAGCATGTCTATATAACATACATCTCAAAGATTTCTAAGAAGAGTTTAACAGACTACCAAATTTCTAAATAAACATTTTTAACAGAAAAATTCTTAGAAAATTAATGTATTATCCATAGCAAAGCATAAAAAAGAGAATGCTGATGCTCTCATGAGCTCTGCGAGGCACACAGTGACACAGCTTACCTCCTCACTGACTTCTATCAACATCATTTGTAATATGTAACAGCTTTTAAAAAATGAAACACTCGAGTTGAACGATAACACAAATTTATGATTTTTAATGAAGCAATATAATTCCCAGAAGAGAGCACAGAAAACAATGAACTCACATACACATTACTTGTAAAATAACTTTTTAACCTTAGAGCAAGCATTAAATAACAACTTATAAATATTAAATATTAGCTTATTTCTCTGCCTTGCCTGTTCCTTTTTCTAGTGTTCAGCAGTCAGAGAACTTAAAATCTCCCCTCACTTACATTGCAATGCAGGTTGTGTGCCTCAGAGACATCCTTTGGTCGGTTACCATAGTGATTCTACTAAGCAGGCAACTTAAAAAAAGGCTAAATAAAAATAAAATGCTCTACTTTATATTGCATTTTGCCTGACAAAAGAAAAAAAGGAAGACCTTTGGCCTGTACGTTGAGTAAACCTATCTAAATGGCACAAAATCCATTTTGCACAGATGTGTCATCTTGCACTGTCACTAACAATTAATACGAAGAGATAAAGCAGGAAGGAACAGATTTGCTCTCACCTAGCAATACCATTATAAAAAATAAGCAGATCTAAAGAGAAACAACTGACAACTGTTCTGTAGTAGCTTTTCAGAATGGTTATTGCACTGAGACTCACTGAGAGAAAGCAAGCAACCGTGTAAGAAAATCTAACCATTTTAATATTTAAATATGCCAGTAGTATCAGTGTGGCACAGTTAAAAAAAAAAAAAAAAGCAGGAATATTCTCAGCAATGCCTCCTAAAAATTTAAATTCTTATTGCTACATTAGCTGACTTTTAAATTTCAAAATCCACATTATGAAAATTTTCTAAGTGTAGTAAGTTTCTGCCTGCACTGTTCACCAAGCTACAAACAGTAAAGAAATGGATAAACCGAAGCCCATAGCTACAGCAAAATAAACCATTTGCATTAAACAATTATCGCACAGCAATATGCAGAAAACCCAGAACCTTTCAAACCAAGAACCTCTGAAATGCACATACACGAGCAAACCTACACCTCTTGCCAGATAAATAATACATAGCTCTCTGTTAAGTATTCAAAATCAGACAAAAAAAAGCATGCATGCATTCTAACACATCAAACTCATCAGCCAAAAGCAGATCCACTAATCACAATTACCAGAACCAAAAAATTTAAAAAAACAGTAATCGTTTCCAACTTCCATTTCTGCAACAAACAGAAGCGGCTAGCAAACATCTGCACCTCTCTCAAATATTGCAGTACTGAAGCTGGCTACCGCTGTGTGAAATAGTTATTATGCAGGAGAGGCCGCTGCAGTTCAGAGACGACATACAATACCTCAAGGCAGACAGCAGTCTATAGAAATTCAAATCCCGAGTAAGAGGATTTACCTAGAAGGCAGTGTTCTGAATGTTAAAAAGTAACAGGCTCTCTTCAAGAGCTGCAGCTCAAGTCATAATATACCTTGATTTGTAGCCATCTGTAATTGCACAATTATCTACAGCCTGTTTTGTCTCCTCTGGAGTCCTTGACTTGCCTCTGATTGTGGAAACAGTTTCGAAGGTAACCTTTCCAAGGATCAGAAGTACAGTGGATTGCATATAAGCAGAACTGATGAAAGCATTAGGTCTGGTAGTAAAATAACAGTAATCTGACACCGATTTAGGTAACAATGTTTTCACTACTAGAATTAAACACCAATTCTCCTGACAAATTAGACCTTTACAATTTAAGAGGCAAGTACCCAGGTTTTTGTTGTTTCTTTAATCAATAAATGACCAACACAAAAAGAACTTGTTTTCTTCTTAGTGCAAGGTTTTCAGTACTATCTCTGCTTACATCCAAGCCTGAGACCTCAAAATAGTGATTCTACTCCCTCCTCCTCTCAAGGATGACATTAGCAAGTTTAAGCTCTTGGTTCTGCATTTATTTAGCAAGCAAGGCAAGCCATCATTTGAAACCTGACAATTCTCACCGACTTACCATGAGGGAAAGCTCCACCATGACTCAGTAAAATTCTGTCAGGAGATGGCTTTTTCTGCCTATGTGACCTAGGTGTGATGCCCGTGTTCCTCAGAGCAGCCTTTGTTCAGATAAGTAGGACACAGAAAGCCTTGCGTAATCAGCCGTGGCAGAGCGCCAAGCCTCCATTTGCCAGGCGTGTTTGGGGCCAGGGGAGAGGGTCAGGAGAGGACGTGCTGCATGTGCTGCTACGTCAGCTCATTGCTCCGCTCTCCAGTGTCTTCTGAATTCAGAAGAAACGCATCTCGCAAGATGAAGCTTTGTGTAAACGCTCAGTTACTTTTGTCCAACATTCCCAAAAAACCTCAAGATTGAGGAAAACTGTTACATGGACAGGGCAGAAAGAAGCTGCTTGAGGGCAGAAGAAACAAAGGTCACATATACGCATAAACTGAGTAACAGCAGTATGTTCAGAAGAATCTCTTGTTTTGGCTAGCTGTATCTGAAAAATTCTTTTTGAACAGAAAGACCAACATCTTATACAGCACACCGGAGTGTTTTTCACAAAGCTATCTTAATACTCACATTGCCTGCATGTTTTATCATTATTTGTGCAGCATCAAAATGTAGCTATCCCTGCGTTACAGCCCGAAGGACAGCCAGCAGCAACAAAATGCCATAGGGAAACAGGATGCCTGGAAGCTTGCCCCTGCTGCTGCATCACCAGCATCGCCACGGAGCTGAACAGCCCTGAGCTGGGGTTGTTTCAGGACCTGCAGCTCTCTGCCTCCAGCCCACACAAGCCACCCAGGCTGAACCGAAAGCACAGCGTAATCCTTGCCGGGTACCTGTGCCTACCTAGCCAGTACGCATAGCTAGCTATTATTGCGTGCCCTGAATGCCAACCTTTCAGTTACAGTTACTAAACCTGGACCAAGATCCACCTCCCGCAAGGAGAAGGTCCACAAATGAAGTACGTGTACCAACACCAATACTCATTGGCTTGAATGCTCAACTTCTGAGTCAACTATTTCTCTTCTCATGGTTTGTTCTCCGCCCCAAGTGACGGAAGATGCCACACAGCATGTTAATTCAATTTTAGTATTTACTCTTCTTTGTGATCATGACATTTCTAAAATACACCTACTGTTTTTCTTTTATAGGAAAACTCCAAAATGACGCAAAAACCCAAGCAAAACTAAGAGAGAACAAAAGAAAACACTTTGTAGGCCAGACATTGCGATATCATGATCCACTGTCAAAACCAGTTGCACTTAATAACTCTCTTGCAGCTTGATTACAGTGCCATGCTGCATTAAAAAACTTCTGTGTTTTTCCTTCTTGTATATGTCTCTCCATCATAACGCATATGCAAACTACAAAGACTTAGAGAGCAATTTCATTCCCAAATGCTGTTTTCCATCCACTCACATTTTTATTAAAATATTCTTTTGACTCACTTCACCTTGCTTTCCGCAAAAGGTTTTTTAGGTAAAGTGCTTGAAATCTTGGATATTCACCTTGCAATAGCTAAAGCCCATTGTTATGTTTTTTACCTAAAAATGTTGCTGATTCGTTTCTGGTAGAATTAGAGACATAAAACTAGACA